AGTCTCGAAACCCTACTTATGAACGAAAAATACTATTGTAAAGCTCCAGTGGTAATTATGGTTACTTATCTGCAGAAGGTCACATATGCTATTATTTTGTTATACCACGTTTATTTCGATTTTTCTATTATCTTCTTATTTGCCATAATCTACTATGCTTATTGTTCTAAATCATTCACTGGTTTAATATAACGTATTAGTCAAAAACTAAATACCTTTGGGTCGCTTAAAGTGATTCATATTCTTACTCAAGATCTACTAATGGTTTCTGCAACAAATTGAACCGTGTTTTTCATAATGCTTAATAAAATTTAGAGGTATGCTTTGATTGGAATTTTTAATCATTGGACCTCTTAATCCAATAAAGCACTATTTACTTGTTCTCCAGCGAAGAAAAGTATATTTCTTACTTGCTTTGGCGAAATGGCTGATCTTTTTCTGTGTCCCAATACGTGTGCTTTCCGACCACTAGCTTACCTGAGACTTTCGGTTAAAACTTACAATCGCCCAGATGTTCTTTATTTTCAGCTATACATACCTCAGCATTTATATGGCTTAGCAACCAAAATAAGGTAAAAAAACATTTTCTTTGCATTTTAGTCTTATTCCTCAATAACTTATATACTATCCACATTTGGTTTGATTGCATTTTTGTCAAAGATGCCACTCGTTATGAATAGAAATAGCGTACTTATATGGATAGAACCAATTTTTTTAAAGTATATAACCTCTCTAAATTGCACATCAACAACGGATTGATATCACTAATACCTAAATTTCTGACCTATCGGAGGCTTAAATTCATTGGCCTAATTTTAGCTCTATTTATTTCGAGTAATTTGAGTTGATTATGACGCTTTCTAATTACCATGATTACCCTCCACTTCTAAGGGAAAGCCTAATTATCAAGCGTTTCCAATAGGAATTTTCGAAATTGCTTTCTATGTTTTATTTATTCGAATACCTTAGGAAATAAGTATGGTCTAAATAGCATATTAAGTGGAATTCATTTATTTTTTATTCCTCTCTAAAGTTTATTTTTTGTGCTTTTTCGTTAATGCTTTTGTCTTGATTTTGTCTTGTTCTCATCTCTTCGCCTATCTTATCCTTTATCCAAGCGTTCCTACTTGTCTTCGACACCCGCTTCTGTTAATATATTTTTTGTATATCTGTCTATTTGCCTGTGCACACATTTACTCACATATATACCAATATACGTCTTTTTAGACTCTGGACGGGCCTTTTTCTTCGCTGGGAATGGCGTCTGCCAATCAGTCGGCAACGCCAACAGGATCGCGCCTCTGACTGGCTGATTGGTGCTTCCGTGCTGGCCAATCACTGCCGCCTTCTCGAGGCCAGAGCTGCACAATTGACCAGCCTCTTGGCGAGAACACAGACAGATCAGATTGAACCGGTTGGAAAACCTCATCTCACTTTATTTATTAATTACTATCACTTTTCAGATTGTTGATGAAATACTATGTTTGCCCTCAGGTATTGTAGACAGAAGAAATTTTTTCACTGATATTCCTGGGCGATACATATCAAAACAGCTCTCACTTTCGAGCTATGCAGCCTTGTGGTTACCTTTAGAAAATTTGGCTGGAGCACTGATGAGGCCTAGCCTAAGTGGAAAACGCAGTCCAACCTGGATGCGAGCTCTCTTTTGTGATACGTGATATATTTATATAGTACTGCTAGGTTAATTGTTCCCTCTACTTCTCCTTAGTTAATTTGCCATCAATGCCTGAAATGTCGTATTGCAACCTGTATTCTTTCATCACTTTTTTTCTCCCCATTTATATTTCCTATTTGGCATCATTTCTTATTTTTCAATTTTTTATACCTATTTTTTCTTTTTTCGATACATTACTTAGTCCTGGCGTTTTCACCTCTTCTTGATCCTTACTAATTTGACTTCATTCATAGCCTTTAGTTTATCCCTTATTCCTGTTCCTTCATTCACTTTATTTTAAGAAGGTCAGGCTGATGAGTAGTATTACTGCAGTCCTGAAGAATAAATAAAATGGGACCATTGCTGAACTTCATATTTAAAGCAAGGATAGGCCCAAAGTATGCATTTTTACCCGTAAAGCGTTGGCTCGTAGCAACTTATTTTAGTTTCATCCTCCTGTCACTTGCTTTCTGACATTCATTCCTTCTATTCAGGATGTGGATTCCCTAATCTTCCACTTACTTGCATAGTCTCCATATCCAGCTAGGCGTCTGGCTTTAGACCAATCATTCTGGTGTCATGTATTAGTTGTGTTCAGTCAGTTCTGATTTTTGGACCCGCAACCTTTTGCAGGCTGTTTTTCGTTCAGATAACCTCTTATGTGTGTGTATAGGAAAGTATCCCCTGTATGAGCACCAAACCTTATAGCAGCCCGATTTGGCGAGAGGGTACGAAAATTCCCGCAAAGCAAGCATTGCTGAGGAAAGTATTATTTTCTCCTTATACATTATCTTGATGCCCAACTTCCTCACCTATCTTTTTCGTAAGCTGACAGGAGGATAACATCAGGAACCTAGTAGGGTGGTCCAGCTACCTATTTTGCTCCAAATATTTGCTTCCCTCCTTCCTATTTGCTGATATTTCAAAGTAATTGACACTTAATCCTAATGGGTAATCGTTCTCAACTAAGCTTTTACTTAATCTTCCCATTTCCTGGTTTCGATTATTAATAGCTGCAAGGCTCAGTCAACTTATTATCATGGATTACATAAATCCTATTTTAACTCCATGAATATGGCATGAAAATAAAGTTAAAAGAAACT